TAGAAAGAAGAAGATGGTTCACAGAACAGCCACAGCAGATGACAAAACACTGCAGTTCTCCTTAAAGAAGCTAGGGGTAAACAGTGTCTCTGGTATTGAAGAGGTGAATATGTTTACAAACCAGGGAACAGTGATCCACTTTAACAACCCTAAAGTTCAAGCACCACAGGCTGCGAACACCTTCACCGTCACTGGCCATGCTGAGACAAAGCAGCTGACAGAGATGCTGCCCAGCATCTTGAACCAGCTGGGCGCAGACAGCCTGACTAGCCTAAGGAGACTGGCCGAAGCACTGCCAAAACGATCTGTGGATGGACAGGCCCCACTTGCTACAGGAGGGGATGAGGAGGATGAGGTTCCAGATCGTGTGGAGAACTTGGATGAGGCATCCAAGAATGAGGCTCACTGATTTGAGTCGGCTTCTGGGGAAGATGAACTTGAGGAAGTGACTTGGAGCTGCTATTTTATATGATGACTGCTTTTTACATTTGTTTTGTGTATGGATCTGGTAAAATCTAGATCTCTAATATTTTTAAGCCCAAGCTTTTGGACTTTGCAGCTCTTTTACGTTTTTGCCTATACATGATTCCTTCTTTGCAGCCAGATACGCTGAAGAAGCCTGGGAATAAAATTTGAAACAGAGGTTACTAAAAAAAGAATTTCTAGGGTTTTGTAGTAATATTTTTTCACTTGCTCTCAAAATGAATTTCTAAAAGGGGAAAATATTTTAAGGTACATAAATGAATCATTTGTATGATAAAGTATATGTATAGATTTCTTTACCATGTCTCTCAAAAAAGCAAAAACAAAAATACCTCTTTTTTAAACTTCCAAGTTTGAGAGTCAGAACATCTGGGTTGAAATTCAATAGGTACAGATAAACAAGCAGCAACTGAGAAGCAACAAAGCCCACATGGAAGAAGCACACAGCCTATGTGATCTTGAGGTGTCGATAGAATCAGGTATCAGGCATCAAAGACCCAGAACAAAAAATCGTATCATTGTGAATGAGAGGGAGTGCAGAGTGGAGGCTCATCTGTAGACAGTTGGATATCCCCTCACAGAAGGCTCACAAGGAAGAGATGAGCCAGTCAGGGTGCAGTATAGCACCGATGAAACATACAACTTTCCTCTAGTTGTTTAATGCTTCCTCCCCCACTCCCCACCATGACCCCAATTCTACCTTACAAACTGGCTAGACCAGAGCATGTACACTGGTATAGATAAGAGCTGGAAACATAGGGAATCCAGGACAGATAAACCCCTCAGGACCAACATTGAGAGTAGCCATACCAGGAGAGTAAAGAGAAGGTGGGGACAGAAAGGGGGAACCAATCACAATGATCTACCTATAGCC